ACGAAATTATGATCGATAAGATTCAAATATGTCTAGAATGAGGTGGTGGTCCACTTATGGTACTAAAGTTAGATGTGTAAATATATTAGATTCCAAATCTATAGTCTAAATGGTAGACATTTACTGTGTTACCTGAATGTCTTAAGTTCGAAATCTGTGATACAGTTGTACATTCACAGATGAAAAGTTGTATAACAGGACGAAATAGTTGTGAATTACATTCTGGATTTTATTGACCCTTCCCAGTTGATATTAATTTGTTGAAAAAAATTAACTCACAGTCCAACTACTCTTCCCTAAACCATACAGTTAAATAATCTTGATTAAATACACTTTAGATGCAAACACGGATGATGGATAGCGGCGGAATCCACGATGAGCGTCTCGTCCTATTTGAGACTCGTCAGCTAGGTGGATAACGCGATGGCGTCTGGAATGAATGCTACTGGGTCCGAGTCCCGGAGTAAACAAATATCAACTCAGGGATGCAAGTACATTCAGCTGACGGGTTCAAAATAGGACGAAACGCCTGTCATGGATTCCACTACTAGCCACCATCCATCCAAGCTTATAATGCTTGTGACTTAAGACAATATCGAGGAAATCCGTTTAGGATGCTCATATGTCAACAAGAGACTGATCGATTGCAGCTCTGAACATCAATGGGAAGATTCAAACAAACAATACAAAATGAATTTACACTTTATATGTTTAGAGGTATTCTTCAATGACTTAACAAAACAAAGACTGAAGGCATAATTACTCTCAAAATTATTTTTGTGATTTTATTATGTATATTCCGATTGTGTAATTACTAAATTAGTGGACCACTAAGAGTCCATATTCCATTCGATTGTAAGATTCCGTTTGAGCCATACACTGTTACTGTACATTTAATTATTCCTAACTTATCGTTGTCCAATCATTTACAGCCTTCCCGGTTCACAACTACTTTATTATATTTGTGTATGATTTTCCATTTCGCGGTGTTATCCAGTTCGTCATATCCATTTATAATTCAAAAAATAATAATAGAATTTAGATTTCTGCCTTCTCCCTCCAGACTCAAGTCATGAGACAAAAGAAAACGTGCGTATCAGTAAAATGATCGATGTTAAGCTTACGTCAGCTCAAAATTAACCCTAGAGTTCAACCAGGTCTGTTGTGAGATATCAACTCACTGAAGACAACGGTGTGTGGTGACGCAACTTCGTGGATTAGTTGAAGTTAAACATAAACACCGTTGGATGCCTGCCAGCTCAGTGGTCTAATGGTTAAGCGCTCGCGCGCGAGACTGATAGGTCCTGGGTTCAAATTTCGCGAGGTGGGATCGTGGATGAGCACTGCTGAGAAGTCCCATACTAGGACGAAACGACCGTCCAGTGCTTCCACGTTTTCCATGGTGATCTAGCTTCAATGGACTCATGATTTCAACTTTTGAAAGATCAGAACATATCATTGATTAAGGCTAGGAACACTGAGCTGAAATCCAAATAGAATAAGAATACATAGTAGGGAAATTATAATCCGAATTCTGGCAAACGAAATTCAAAAAGGATGTCAATTAACTTTTCAGACATAGCAAACGAGAAACTCTGATTGACCAAGGTTTCGTACCATTTGGAACTCGTTGATAAGATGCACCTGTAATCATGGGAGAACTAGTACTCCATGGTGGACTCAATACCTCGTCACTAAGTTTCACAGTCTGATACGTTACTATGTTACTATTCAGACAGCGACTGACTTGTTGTAGGACTAAGATATTTACGACTGATTGACCCTATGAAATAGGACCTAGAAAATCACAACCACGGTTATACATAGTAGTTTTAGGTGAACGATTTTCAAGCACATATATCCATAATAGAAGTCTCTAAAGAATGGAAATGATTTTTTGTCCTATAATAATTTGTTATAACATATAATAGGATTGAGTTGTCTCAACAACGGATCATGTCTCTCTGACACATACAATAGTGTATTGTTCTATACAGCTTCTAAACAATGACGCAATATGATTAGTAGAGCATTGGTAGATCGTTCTCTGTAAAAGCGAAAGAAACAAAATAACCGATTTCTATGTTAATGTATTAATTAGGAAATAATTTATTTTCATTGTAACAATAAATTAAGAAGAATGAACTGAGGGAGATGGGGGAAGGATAGAAATAAATTAGAAACTATCTATTATCAGAATTGTTCCGTTTCATTTCGTTATATATAAATACACACACACACACATACATACAACATAACTTTTTCATAGTTTTATTTTTCTATGATTGGCATAGTTAATTTACAATAATATTGAGCTGAAAATTAAACAGTCTGTTAATTCCCTTAGGATTTTTATGGATTTCGTAATCACTACAACCAATCAACCATTTATCCACTCCCTCATTTCCCTTTCATTGATGTATATATATAAGCTGAATAAATGAACACTGACTTAGATGATTGTATGAGAGTGATATTCGACATGTTATTATGCTCATATGTCATGGTGTTTAAGAATAATGCCTTAAGGGTTTGTAATTAGATGGTGTTAAATGAGTCGTGAATATATATTTATTTATTGATAATTGGTGTTAGTCTTGTTGAACTGTAGCAAAGTAATTTGATCTACACTTTGATGGTTTATTATTTCATTCAAAGAAAAAGAGAGAGAAAAAAAAGAAAGAAAGAGGAGGTAGGTGGGAAGAAGGGAAATAAGCAGTCAACCAAAACACAATGCTACATACAAATGAGTATATATATATACATATATATATAATTACATCATTAGGTAGGTGATTCTAAACACAACAGTGTAAAGCAAAGCTCAGACTTCACAGTTATGTATTGATTTTGATATGTTTGGAAGTTAAGAAGTAAACTTAAATACATTTACACTTGTAAAATAAAATGTCTTATCTTATTTAGAATATCTGAAATACTCTTATATATGTTTATTCATTTTAATGTCTTAAAATTTAAAGAATTTATGTAGTCTATATTACTACTTATTTGACTTTTATCACTGTAAGACCATATTGTGTAGTGTGCTACTGATATCGACAAATATAAGTAGTATGTATCATTAATCAAAAGTAAAATGCCTGGTGGTAGAAGATTAATAAGATCGAAGGGAAGAGAACGAGAACAGAAAATCATTGGTGTAGAAATGTAGGAACAATCAAGTCTGAAACGATTGACTGACATTTTGCAGTAGGAATAGTCAAGTTTGATACAATTGAGTGACATTTTGCAAATGAAGAATTCACTGTATGGTTCTCAGATTTTACTAAGAGATTCTGTGATTCTGTGTTAAGGTACATTTGATTGTCCCCATTTGTGTTCCCGTTCGCTACAATAGCTCCTCAAAGGTTGAGTTGTCAACCTGTAATGCTGAGATTTCATATTTCACGTCGTGAACAGATCTTGACTAGACAACCGCTGAACATTTAAAAGAAATAGACATATACTTTGTTTCAGTATAAGGTTTTTTAACAGTGAACATTAACAACCCAAATGGGGCTCAAAACCAGGAATATCAGGTCTTGGTGAAAACATTTAATCTTTAAACCATCGGGCAAGCATCTAACAACAATCAGTTCTAGATATTATACAACCATCTTTGATTGCCATTCGTCAATAACTGCCTCATACACTTGAATACCGATACACTGGTCTAAAGGTTGGATGATCTTCGCGAGACCTGAAAATCCCAGTTTCAAGCCGCGTTGTGATAACTTTATTCCCACTGTTGAGAAGTTTCATACTGAAAAAAATCATATGTCTATTATTTCCTGACTTTCAAATGTTGTCTAATTCGGATTAGTTTGTGATATGAACCATAAAAATCGACTACATGAAAAAAAATATTCTACTATTTTTCAATACAAGGAGCATTTACTCATTTTCACTTAGGGATTTGTAAAATTGCACAACTTAATACATAGATTGTGTATAAATCATTAATGTGTATTTTCCCATCCTTTTGTTTATTATGAGGTGGTGGAGATTGTTAAGTTTTTAACTGAGATCATGAATCGACTAATGTCAAACTATCATCGAAAACATGGAAGCACTAGAAGACCGTTTCGTTTTAGTATGCGACTCCTCAGCAGGGTGCAAGTCCCACGATTCCGTTCGCGAGGGTTGATTGATAAGTAGTGTTTAATTCATAATTTCTTGTTTAAGTTATGGGATGCAAACCAAGAAACATCCAACCGATACTCTTTCATCACACTAAACAACTTTCTACTCCTTCTAAGCTTATCCTAAGTTAATTAAGTAGAAATGTACCGATGAACAGTATAATCTTCTATAGAACACTGATTAAATAGATTTAATTTGTAATGCTTTTGAATACCCCGTTGTTTATATTTGACTGAATTTCGGTCAGTCTTAGTTGGTATATGTACAACCTGTGTGAATTGCATCAGTATAGAGATTATATTACAAATTTATTTGAAATAGATTCAATTTGGCCAGCAAAAACTAGTTACATATTGGATGTATCGAAGCTATCCGTACAGGTTGCACAGATACCAATTTAGACGAACCAAAATGAAGTTAAACCATAAACCATGGGATAATATGAATCAGTAAAAAATTAAACTGGAATTAATACATTTTTGCACGAACAAGTGGCTATTTGAACTCCATAACTAAGTGAATAAGGGGTTGGCGTTTGAAGCGAAAGGGACTGGATTTGAACCTGCAAAGTAAACATCAACTCTGAGATGTGTTACGCACATCCGGTTGATGAGTCCCGAATAGGACGAAATTCGCATCCCTTTGGTTACACAGTTAACCATATTTCATCTATTCTACAGAATAAATAATCTTAACATTATGATGCAAAAATCAACCCCTAATTAAATTCTATATCTTAAGTCATTTTCAATAAATTAGATTTTAGCCGTTAAGCGAAATTAAAAACATTATATTCACTCCTTTTTCTAAAAAAGGGTTTCGAAACTAGAAATAATTTTTCTTGTTCTATTTTTCAGTTTACTCAACTATAAGTCCAGTGATTAAAGCACTTAGTCCAAATGAAGGATGGGTTACAGGTGGTGAAACGATTACTGTGATTGGTGAGAATTTTTTCCCCGGTCTACAAATTGTTTTTGGATCAACTGCTGTATGGGGTGAAGTAAGTGATGATATTTGTTTACTAAATTATTTAATCCATTGTAAAGCTGCTCTTGATATTACTTAAATGAACGTCTAAGACACTGAATAGATTCTAAATACAACTTCAAGTTGTAAAGTAGCAATTCAGTTAGAAAGGATACAATAATTCGATAGTTCCCATTATAATCGTTGTCTAGCAAATACACTCAAGTTCTATATCGCAGAAATATGCATTTGCCTTATTAGTAAACTTATGTTGATATAGTAAGAAAGAGTACAAATAATGTTTCTATACTCTTGTTCTCTATATCTCAAATCTATGGATGATATGTCGAATAATAATATTCTCCAACCCTGTTAACTATATGGTTATAAAAACAATTACTAATACACAAATGTTTAGCAAATTGTTCTCAGGTGTAAATTTTGTGTCTTTACAAGTAGCTAATACGAATTTATTTAAAGATTATAATTATATTAATAATTAAACTGATGGCGTGTGTTCGATCTTTGCGGGGGGGGATCGTAAACTTCAAATACTGATGAATCCAACATTAGGAAGAAAAATATATCATTTAGTCCCTGGTTTTCGGTGTTACCTTAATGAAGATCAATCTGTGATGAGTACAGTGTACAGTGATATTTCATCAGTTTTTTTTAGGGTGTATATGCTTATTTGAATATTTGGTCAGCAGTAATGAGAACAGAATAGAGTGGTTACTGTTTAGATATTTAAGTATAACCTTTTTAGATAATACATAATGAATTCAAATACTTCAGTTTGTTTACGTTAGTTGACAATTAAGTGAAATCGAGAATATCCAATTGTAAGACAAATTACGAAACAATATCTACTCTCACTACTACTACTACTACTACTACTACTACTACTACTACTACTACTACTACTACTACTACTACTACTACTACTACTACTACTACTACTACTACTACTACTACTACTACTACTACTACTACTACTACTACTACTACCACTACTACTACTACTACTACTACTACCACTACTACTACTACTACTACTACTACTACTACTACTACTACCACTACTACCACTACTACTACTACTACTACTACTACTACTACTACTACTACTACTACTACTACTACTGCCACTACTACTACTACTGAACAAATAAAATTACAAATAAAAAACTTACGTTTTCAATTGTTAAAAGGTGAGGAGTTCCAAAGTACTTCTTAGAAAAGTCACTTGGGACCGAGGAAAATTTTTGTTCAATCAGGGTTGAATAAAAGTATTTTATGAACATCAAGAGCAGTGACGAATCATCTGTCACATGTTTGCGTGAATATTGATCCTCTTGTTATCATATTAAATTTGCTTCTAGAACTTTCTAAAAAGCCAAGGCTTTGTTAAATAGTATGAATACGCATGACTTTTGAGTGAAGCTCTTTTGTTGCACTTGGCGGCTATTCTGTTGTGTTCAGGTTTCTGAGTAGATTTAATCTAGGCTTATTAGAAGTGACTAGAAAATTGGATTGGGTGTTCAATTAGCAAAACTTATCAATAATTCACTAGAATATCCACTTTACATAGTTAAATAAACACTTGGATGATTTATTAAATTCTACTGTTATAAATTGGAGACAAAACCCTAACAAAACTTGATTTTTAAGCGTGTATGGATATTGGCTAGTAGTGGAATCTAGGACTTGCGTTTCTTCCTTTTTGAGACTCGTCAGCTAAATGTACCTACATCCCAAAGTTGATGTTCACTCCACGACTCAAACCCAGTACTATTCGCTTCAAACGCTATCACATTATCTATTTAGCTACTGAAACTGATCAATTGCAGTCCTGAATAACAATAGGAAGATACAAGTAAAGCAACACCAAGTGAATTGTGCTAGGGTTGAAGCTATCACGAGTTCACATAATCTACGAACGAGAAACAAGACTCGGTGACCCAAGACCAGTAAGCTAGCTATTGATGCGTCCCAGCCCCGCTAACTAGAGGGAGAAGTCCAAGCTTGGAAAAGGGAAGTATATTCTTCAAACAGCCAGAAACGAGCGATAACAACAAACACAATTCAGAACATATATATACAGTACAAAACCATCCTTGGGGAGAGTTACCAAATAGCATACTAAAAGACTCAACGGACCAATAGCATTTAAGATATTTCCCAGTGGGAAATACTATATGAAGGTAACAAGAGCGCCTTTGGCGCGAAAATAAAGAAATTCAAATTTTCTAAATAAAATTACAAAATTAGGTCCATTCCCAAGTGAGTTCTGGGGATCTAACGTCCCCAACAAATTGAAATTTAATTGTTTTTAAAATAACCTTTAAACATTTATAAGTTGTTTGTCCTATTTGTTTTTGCTTTTTCTTATCTCTTATAATCAGTTGATTACACCACATGCTCTACGTGTTAGTACACCACCAAGACATTTATCTGGTGTAGTTGAAGTGACATTAGCATTTAAAAATAAAACATTCTGTAAAAATAATCCAGGTAGATTTGCTTATATTGGTAAGTATATCATTTTTAATATTAAATAATTATCTCATCTATTTTTATAATCATCATACTCTTTGTCATTCTGTTCCAGTAATTGATTGAGGGTATTATATAACTTGATTTTCTTAGGTTTACTAACTTGTTTCTATGTCTAGAAAAACATAATCTGTTTATTATATTCATAAACTAAATAATAATTTCTATATTCGTATAAACTTATATCACAATTGATTGATCACTGGGTGATGATCAATGTCATGCGTGTCTAGTCCTTATTTAATGCAGATCGATGATCACCACCCAGTGATCAATCAATTGTGATTACATCTCAGTCATACAGGAGGTCGGTCGCGGCTCGGATAGCTCAGTGCTAACGTCTCTGACTGTGAAGCTGGGTGACACGAGATTGAATCTGCCAGGGAGCACTAGTTCCCTCAAGATTACAGGTACACCTTGCTGACGAGTGCCAAGTAGCACGAAACACGGGTCCAGGGTTTCCTGTCGACTACCTTCAACCACCATCTATAAACTTATATCTCTATTAAATAACTTTGTAGTTACAAAATCAAATTAAATAAGAAAGATTAGAAATTTCATGCAATTGGTTCCCTTTATGAATTTAAATAGAGCAAGAACAAACATTGATGTATACTTATTTTTACAAGATGATAATAATACTGATAATAAACTTCTGTTAGACATGGTGACAGTAAGGTTAAATAAACAAAGGTATTAAGAAAGTTTTTTAAAACAAGGAAAGTTTAATAATCGTTTGATTGTTAATGGCTTAAGTATTGGGCCTTTTAAAGGAGATACTTATCAAAAAACGGATATCATTCGGTATTTATTGATAAGAACATGAAGCCGAAAACGCCAAAAACACAAATGATTACAGTAGAAAAGAAAACTTTATACATGAACATCGACTTCAAAGGTGATAGAGCGACATATATCTTAAAGAGGAGAATTTCGGACTCCTTAAAAAGAACATTCTACGCGGCAACATTGCTAATATTATTCTCCAGCCGATCATTGTTCACCAATAATCTGAAAGATAAATTCTCACATCTAACCAACTTAGTGTGCATTTACCTGCTCTTGTTGAGCTATGTATATAGGTCGTTTGATGCGTACTTTATCCAAAAGAATTCAACAACATTACCTGGTATGACTAAGAAAAGAGGTGGAAGCGGCTCAATAAGAAGTTCTATAATCGAACACCTTGTGAACACAGATCATTCAATCAACACAGACTCAGCGTTCAAAGTCATCTACAAGGTAAGTAGAAGTCTCCCTAAGACAATTAGACTGCATCTTCTTTGCATTGCCGAAGCAATAGCCATACATCTGGAAGAACCATAATTGTGTGTGCAAAAGAGACTGGTACAACCTCTCCTTCTACCATGGTCTTAATGTATTAAAGATTTTCTCTCTTTTTCATACTCTTGTTCATTTACAGCCATCTGCTTCACCTTCCATCTTCTCTTTGAATCTTCTCCCCCCAACTGGTTTGTTTTTATTTCCACGATCATTCCGATTACATTTCATCTCTGTTTCAACATTTTATTTTATCATGCTGAGCCATCCTTTCCCAATGATAATTTCCCTATCTATCTTTTAATGAATACTTAAGCCATTAACAATCAAACGATTAGCAAGCTTTCCTTGTTTTAAAAAAGAACTTTTTAATACCTTTGTTTATTTAACCTCACTGTCACCATGTCTAACAGAAGTTTATTATCAGTATTATTATCATCCTGTAAAAATAAGTATACATATATATTTGTGGTTGTACAACTTTGAAAGTGAATTCGTCGAAAAGAGAACTCTTCACTGAACTAATCTTTTTTATTTAATGTCTTAATGGGTGTATTCCTTTTAAAAAATTAAATTAACTTGTTAAGTAACTCTTGACTAATTAATTAGGTAGATAGTAATGTGTGTGATGAGTTTTGAACATATAATTCGTTTTACAAGCAAAGATAGATGGTAACTAGCAGTGGAATCTTAGAGTTGATGTTCACTTCAGGACTCAAATCCAATCCTAAGTCCTGGTAGCCACTAGTCTGTGCAATGGTATGAAGATTAAATTTACTTTGCATTGTTTGTTCGAATCCTCCTATTGATGTTTTAGGACTACAATTGATTAGTGTCTTGTTGGCATATGTGCATCCTGCGTAAACTACCTTGAGTTCAAATACTTTTCCCTAGACCATCCAGTTAAATAATTTTGATTAAATACACTTTAGATGCAAACACGGATGGTGGATAGCAGTGGAATCCACAATGTGCGTCTCGTCCTTTTTGGAACTCGTCAGCTAGGTGGATAACGCGATGGCGTCTGAAATGAATGCTATTGGGTCCGAGTCCCGGAGTAAATAAATATCAACTCAGGCATGCAAGTACATCCAGCTGACAAGTACCAAATAAGGCGAAACGCCTGTCATGGATTCCACTACTAGATACCATCCATCCAAGGTCATAATGCTTGTGACTTAAGACAATATCGAGGAAATCCGTATAGGATGCTCATATGTCAATAAGAGACCGATCGATTGCAGTTCTGAACATCAATGGGAAGATTCAAACAAACAATACAAAATGAATTTAAATAGTTTGCTTCTCATGCATAATGTAATGTTTTATGAAAGGAATGAATTATGGCTAACAGTAGAATTCAGGGAAATGGTTTCTTCCCGTTTAGAACTCGTCAGCGTTAATGTTTACTTCGGAACTAGAACGCAGTACTTATTGCTTTGAACGCTCACAGTGTTTTCAATTGAGCTGTTGAATTCAAACAATTACTAACATTTTTAAAGGTTTCGGTGCTTAAGGGTTTAAACAATCCTAGTGTTGATATTTAGAACAGAATTCTGGATTAATAATAATGTATATCGACACAATTTGCACTGGATGTGCACATATCAACCAAGACTGGTCAACTAATAAGTTCCGAGTATTGATACTGGGATGATTTAAACTCTTAATAAATGGATAATATTATAATCCATGTAAAATAATTTTTTATTTTCTTATCCATATTAATAAAAAGGAATTATTCATATAAAACTATACTGACTTTTCTTCATCTAGCAATGACAGATCCTACAATTGAATATGGTTTTCAAAGATTATGCAAAATTATTCCACGCCATCCGGGTGATCCAGAACGTTTACCCCGTGAAATCATCTTGAAACGTGCTGCAGATTTAGCCGAAGCATTATATACAATGCCTAATCGTGGTGGTATTGGATTTCGATCACCACATTTACAACTAGCTTCACAATCACTACAACCAACATCATCATTATCATCCTCTATATTTTGTACTAATCAAGAAGAAACAGAAGAGAGAGCAGAAGAAGAAGAAGAACGTCATCAACAACATTCACAACATCTAACAGACAGTAATCAAAATTTAGACAATCGATGTACATCATCTTCAAATAATGTTAATAATAACAATAATACTAGTCATATTTCATTATGTCCTAATGTTTCCTCAGTGCAAATGGGATCAATGAATAGTTTTTTAGCACTAACTGGTCAAAATGGTATTAATTTTTATCCATATGGAATAACAACATCAACGACAACATCAGCAGCAGCGCCATCAATTCTATCAAATTTAGAGTTAAATGAACATCGTGACAACTTATCAGCTTTACATGATTCTAGAATTAGTTTACATAAAGCTTTTTATACATTTGATAGAAAAGATGTTGACAATGTAATATCAAGCGGTTATTGTTGTTGTACTACAACTGGTACATCAACAACCACAACAATGGCAACAACAACGACAACAGCACATTTAATCCATTCCAATTCTAATTCAACATCGATTATAAATGATGATATTATTGGTATGAGTCAAAGTAGTCCTGAAAGTGGTACAGTCACTAGTAATAGTAGTGGTGGTCTAGAAAGTGTACAAAGTGATATGAATTGTTTAGATAATATAAATCATAATAATTCTCCAACAAATTCAAATAATGATGAATTACAAAATTCACTAAACTGTCATCATCATCATCATCAACAACAACAACAACAATCCCATTCACATCGTCAGTCACAATTGAATCTTCATCGAAATCAGCATGGATTTGAAGATATTGTCGAAGATGATAATGAAGAAGGCGATAACAACAATAATAATAATAATACTCATGATCATTTAAATAATCATAGATCATGTTTAATGTTAAGTAATAAAAAGTTGAAACAGTCAAATATTTACACAGAATCTATTAACCATAATCATAATCATCATCATCATTATCATCATCACCATCCATTGAAGAGGTTACGTTGTGATTGGTCAATAGAAGAGAAACATATGAATGAAACTAGGCAACGACAAGAAATATATGATGTAATAAAAATGCCAAATGATTCATTTCAAACTATTACACGTAATATAGCACCATTTTTAAGGCATATCAATGATGAAATGAATTATAATGTTAATGTTCTACCTGAAATGAATTCATCAATAATGAAACATCATGATAAACCATTAATCACTACATCTTTAAATACAGATTTTGCATCGAATTTAAATCCTTCTTATCATGTATCACAAGCAAATATATTAGATTCAAATAATGATAATTGTTTATTGAAATCAGTTAATACAAATGAAATAACTGAGGTAATGAATCAAATTTTTTATGAAGTTTTTAGAATAAGGTTGTGAAGATTATTAAGTTTTTGATTAAGATCATGAAACGATTGATGCTAGATCACCATTGAAAACTTGGAAGCACTGGACAACTGTTTCGTTCTATTGCGAAAATCCTCAGCAGCGCGCATTCACGATTCCGCTGGTGCGATTCGAAACCAGAGCTTTCAGTCTCGCGTGAGCACGCTTAACCTCTAGACCACTGAGTCGGCATCCAACGGTAATAATGTCTAAATTCAACCAATCCAGGAAATTGTGCAACCATTTTTCATTTGACTGGGATAGATACCTGTCTCTACCCGACGTAGATTAGCTTCACTGGTCACGGCTTCTCACTAGAGTTCCGAGAATCCCCTCACGAAGCTAGTCACTAGTGAGCACATGGTAATTATCAGTATAGGAGTTGTGGAGATAATTAAGTTTTGGATTGAGATCATGAACCTATTGATGTTAGAACACCATTTAAAACCTGGAAGCACTGGATGGCCGTTTCTTCCTATTGTGGGACTCTTAAGCAGTGCGCACCCATAACCCTATACTGAAAATTTTATATCCTTAAAATTAAAATTACGTTTTAAACATGACAAGAAGTCATGGAAAGCTGAAAGTTGGTTTTTCTGTTCTCATATGTAATGGTTTCAACTTTCCTTTACAAATGTGAAAATAAAATTTATCCTCGTTCCATAAGCTAGTGGCTATTTGAACTTAGTAGTTCAGTAAGAAACGCTATGAACGTTTAAAGGGAGAGGTCCTGAATTCGAGTCCCGAAATCAACATTAACACAGATGTACATTTAGCTGACGAGTCCCAAATAGGTTAAGATATACGTTCTGAATTCTACTACAAGCCTATATCTAACTTTACTTTAAGATTGTTTTTCCTAGTTTTAAATTTTTCGTATTAAGATTGTTTTTCCTAGTTTTAAATTTTTCAGTATTAAGATTGTTGGTGGGCACTATTGAGGAGTCCCAAAAATGAGACGTACTAGCTGTCTAATCCCTAATGAATTCCCAATGCTACCTGTAGTTGATTTCATTTTGGGTTAAATTCTGCGTCATACTTTAACAACATCAACAAACCGAAATTTCGTTTAGTATAGAAAATCGAATAAAACCAATGCTTATATACTTTATTTATCTGAAACGTTGACAAATATTCTACCTAAAGTCAACTCTAACGAAATACAACTAAGGTGCTCCGCCACAAAGTCTCAGACTACAAATCATGGACGATATGGGTTCGAGCCCAACATGTAGCTTTAGTTTCCTCAAGACTATAAGCATGCCTTGTTAATAAGTATCAACTTCCTTCAGAAGCCCAGAAATGTATAGTTACTTCTATCAAATTTAGCGGTAAAATTCATCCTATACGCTTTAGTTTGTCATTTTTCAGATCTCTACTCATAATAACTTTATTGGAAACTGAAATGTACATTTAATGTAACAGATACACACATTATCAATCTAATCAATCATAAGTAGGTAAAATTGAGTGTATTTTAGCATCCATGGAAGTTTGGAGAAAAATTTACTTGCGAATCAAGTTGTAAATTACTGGTCACGTAGTGTCATGTCTAATTGATAATTTAATATCAACCAAAATTTTCATAAATAAATATTGTCCATGTAAATTAAGGTTAATTAACTCGTGGTGTATACTACTCAATGTCAACAGATATAAGTAGTAAGTAACACCAATCGGTAATTGAAAACCCGACACCAGAAGGCTATCAAGATCGACTTGAAGAAAAAATAAAAATAAAAATACGAAAGAATTGTGAATCAGAAGAAGCATACACAATGTAAAGGGTAGATGATGATAGTTTGCAAATAAAGTATTCAATGTATTGTTCTCATATGTTATCAAGAGATTCAGTTATTTCCCATTGAAGTACATTTAGCTGCCCCGACTTATGTTCTCGTTCATAATAAACTTACTTTAATCGTAAGTATCTTCCATAATCTCGTACGGTCAGTTGGCACATATTTGTATCAGTTGATATACTGATAGGTTCAAAATAAGAAGAAACATTCGTACTGACCTTTGTTATTTGTCAATATCTAGATAATAATGATAATATACTATAATAACCACTGATTAATGAATATTTCTTTATTATTATTTTTATATAAAAAACCCATTTACTAGTACAATGAACATAGAATTAAAACAAGTAACAATGTCAATCAATCAATTTGTCCACAAATTACATCCTATTCAAAATTTAATAAGTCATCATCTCTTTATGAACATAATAGAGATCGTCATCAGATACCACTTTCAAAATCAACTTGTAGATTACCATCAAGTGAGTTAACTTCTATGGTTGAAAATAAAACGACAGATGATAATTCATGGACTGGACCATCATATAACTTACAGGTTAGTTAAATTATCACCATTATTATTAGTATTATTATTATTAAATTCACTTGGTATTGTTTACTTGAATCTTCTCATTGATGTTTTAGAACTGTAATTGATCAGTCACTTATTGACATATGTACATTTTGTGCGGATTGCCTCGAGTCCTGGAGTGAATATCAACTATGGGATGCAAGTACATCCAGTTGACGAGTCCCGAATAGGACGAAATGCCCACTACTAACCACTATCCATCTTTGTTTATTATCGTTATTATTAGTCGGGTTTATCAAATGGTATACATTGAGTTAATATTTACCCTAACGAAATCCAAAGTCAAATAATGTATGATAGAGGGAAATAAGTATACTCATTATAGAGAAGGATTATCTAGTAGGAAAAGACAGGTGAAAATTAGAAGCGACTACACTGAAAAGTGTATGTATTCATCGAAATTAACTCTTGAAATTCTACTTAAGGAATCATAACTAATGAAATTTATTCATGTTATAATTAAATGGACACTACAAATCCTACTCGATAATAGCTGAACGATAACGTAAGTCTAGGGAATAGAGGCATTTGAACTATTGGGTTCCGGTTAAGTAGTCTAAAGTTATCGAGCTCATTACGCAATCTGGAGATATTGAATGCGATCCAATATTTAGTAGTAGTACGTGCATAATTATCCAGAGGAACTCATAAACACAAATTAACTCTTTAACATGATCTGGTATTCAGTAATTCAACTGTTTATTTCGGTTTGTAATAAAAACTAACCTCATTTATTCTTATTGATAAAAGTTCATTTGATTGAACTCGATAATTATAAATAGTATAATTAGTTTAATCATTAAACCAATTATAATTGAAACAATTTTATCATATGGCTCAATCAATTGCTAAATAATAACCATGGCGAGACGACAATTTATGGACGAACCGACCACGTATAAGATAACAGGTCTCGAATTCTGGTGCGAAATTCACTCATCCATTTGGCTAAGTAGAGTCTTGGGATTATAGCCGATGTCAGTTCGTGATAAAAATCCTAAATATAATTCCTAACCTTAACCATCAACTGGAAATCACAATTCGAATTCCTCATACATGTTTATAACCCTCATTTAGTCCTAGTTATTAGGTAGACATTCTCGAGGTCAGTCTAGCTTCAATGGTAGTAAAATATAAAAGAAGGATTGTGCATAAGTATATAATACAAGAGAGAAGAATTATTTGGTAGAAAGTAAGGTATAGAGTAGTTTTAATCTCACGGTTTGAGAGAAGACACAGTGTATACACCTACAACATTGTGATCGATTCTGAGTCATGTCACCAAGAGTTTCCAACCATTAGTTACGATAGTCACGCGGACCCCAACCAAGTAGTCTGTATCTACCAACATAGATCAGACCAGAAGTCAGTGACTTCAAGCACTGATGCCACGTTTTGGTTTGGCCGTCCCTAAATTTCTCCCAACCATTCCCAACACTAGTCAGCATTGCGCGTCGTGGTAATCGGTGTTCAGGCATACGCAACACTTGACTCAACCATCTCAGTCGATGAAGATTCACAACTGCATCAATCCCTCATGCCTTGTGCCTAACCTCACTGTTACCCCCCTGGCGATCTCATCAGATGCCAGCAATATTTCTAAGACATCTGTGATCAAACACTAGCAAATTACAAGTATCTTCTACTGTTAATGGCCACGTTTCACAGCCGTTAAGTAGAACGGAACGAACTGTTTTATATCTAACACTACTATGATTTATAAATAGTGTTTATTTTGAGGCTTACATCACGTATTGGATATAGTTAGTCAACCATTGGAAACTAAAAGCACTAAATGGTTGTTTCGTTCTGGTAAGTGACTTTTCAATAGTGCTCAATCTTACCAGGCTTCGAAATCAAAATCTTTAAACCCTGAATAGAGTGATTTAGCTTTAGATTGTTAAGTCGGAATCCGATGACTCATACTTCTAAATTCAATCGGTAATACCTGTTTCTGATCATAGCTCCTCATTAGAAATCCAGAAGCATCTGTCTAATTTCTAGCAGTTGTCTCGCTAAAGTCAGTTCGTAATGTAAACCACTACATTGTATGCTACTAATAATCACGTGTTCACATGTGATAAAATTTAGAGTAGATCTCTCAAGTTTCCGTCAGAATTTGTAATTGATGTAAACCAAACATATCAAACATGAAACAGGTACCACTGATAATGACAGATGATGATTGTGATGTATAACGAGTAAACCAGAATTAGAAATAAGAAGTATAAGATCTCGTCTCAGTTGTTTTAAGATTATAGACTGGCCACAAATCCCTAACTTCTAGGTTTTGCTCCTCAGTAACATCATTGTTGTGTACAGTTAAAGGGTCCGATATAATGATAAAATAATTTCCTAGTGATTACTGATTAAAAATGATAATAAACTAAAACAGTCTAATCACATTTACTTATTTTTTATCCATCCTTATGTAACTATTGTTCTCTTCTGAATAACTTGTGTGCTGTTTCGTTTATTTCAATTAACAGCATTTATCAACATCGTTAATTTATCTAGCAGATAACTATACAGATCATGATATAGAATCAACATCATCTTTATGTTCTACAACAGAAACACTATCTTCAATAAAAAATTCAATTAACACTCCATCATCATTATCATCTGTTAGAACAAGAACAAATTCTGTACAATCACCTAATCATGAACATCAAATTCATTTGATGCAAAGAATAAAATTAAATGAAGCATCAAAACCTATAAATCATATGTTTCATTCAACTCCAACATTATCTTCACCTTTATCTTTATCAGGTTCCATCTCTTCCTCCTCTTCATCCTCCTCCTCATCATCATCAACGTCATCGGCTACGACTATTCATGAGTCAATGATAAGTAAAGAAACTGTTATGGATTCTTCAAGTCCAATTATACAATGGTCAAAGTAAGTTCAATTCGAAAATAGTTTACATGATTGGTTGACATCAGCTCAAAAACTATTGTGGTAACCAATGAATTGTAAAACTAAAATAGTGTAGTTTACTTGTAGCCCCTAATTTTTGGTTGGTATTTTCAAAAACTAAATCACTCCTCTTTACAACAAAATTATTCCCAAATTTATTTGAAAGCGTTTTGTGGAGATTGGTTTATTCTGTAGGTTAAATTTACCATATATTGATCTCAGCTAAGATACCATTACAAACCCAAAGAATACTAGGTGGCTGTTTCGTCCCAGTATAAGACTTCTCACCGGTGCACATCTATCCAGCTCACATAGATTTAGCCTAATCGGTGAGTAATACGGCTAAAAAATTAAATAGATGTCTACAAAATCCATTCAACTCACAAGCAAATCAATTGAAAATGTCCCTGAAATGCTAGTAAGGAGTATTGACTGTTGGAGATCAGACTGAAAAGTTGTCACTAATGACTTTTGGTTTTTATTATGCTACATCTTGAATCTGTTTAATTAGGATCTGTACCGCTGGAAGTCAATCAACTGTTTCAAACTGCCAATCATTTACTACGGGACTTAAAGTTTCATAGTGTTAACTGGTGAAAAATTCCATACTAGAGTAAAACTTCTGTTTAGCACTCCCCAGTTTCCTATATACATTCATGAATCACACAAGCAAACCGATTAGTGGATATACAATTGAAGCATAAAAGATTATAGATTTATCTAATATTTATTGTGTGATAGTTATGGCAAGTAAACAATGAAATTCATGTTGGAATTGTTGTATATTCCTTAATCACTTATTGATTACCATCTACCATACCATACTACTGATTTTTATCTCAAATTTTTTCGACGCGTTTTCAATCGTTACTTTAATTTGAACTTAACAACAAAAGATGAAAGGATCATGAATCAATTGAAGCTAGACCACCATGGAAAACCTGGATGCCTGCTCAGTGGTCCAGTAGGTTAAGCGTTCGTGCGCGAGACTGATAGGTGCTGGGTTTGAATCTTGCGAGGCGGGATCGTGAATGCGCACTGGTGAGGAGTACCATAGTATGACGAGATGGTCGTCCAGTACATCCAGGTTTTCTATCGTGGTCTAGATCCAATTGACTCATGATATCAACTATTCAAATTACTATAATATCTATAAAAACCTCTACTGATACTAAAAGATGAAATGGCCTATTTTTTGTTTTTCAAAAAAAGTATTTATTTCAACTGTACTTATACTGTAACATTCTGATAGAAATTAAACATTTACAAGTAGGCAGGGACAAAAGGAAGGAGATGTGTGTGTAAGTGGTAATAAAGGCAATTTTACTCAATTAATCAATGACTAACTTTTTCTTATTGAACTACGACGATCAATCTCATATTTGCTTTGCCTTTTAGTATGGATTTCATTTTATCGATCAAATTATAATATAGTCACTAGTTTGATTGCTTCGAGATCGTGTATAATGTATTGAGATATTCTGTGGTTAAAGGTAGTAAGTAGGAAACTCTGTGAAGGGACTAATGTTCCATGTAGAATTTAACTCCCCCTATCAACCAGCTTTAGTATTTGAGATATTATCATTGAGCTATTCAATTTATTAGAGAGTACTTTCTATCACAAAAAATGTAAGATAAATCCTCTACGTTCAATTTAATGATTGAATAATGAAATAATTGTTAGAAGGTTGGTGGAATATTTACTAACATTCAGATGGATACAAATGTATATACTGAAATATCACCGCTTTTAGTTCCTTAGAAAAGATTTCCAAATCAACCACCCAGAAAAAGTAATCGAAACTCAACTTTTAATTTGAAAATCAACATAAAACTAGATAAAATATTATTCGCACTTAATAGTAGATAGTCGTTTGACTTTTGAATGTTTAAAGTAACAGACACTAACTTTGAGCCTATGTGTGAACATCAAGGTTGGAATGCATTTACATTGAACCAACCAGTTTCAAATATTATATAGTACGAATAAAAGATATTTAAACAAATTAAAATGATCCCTTTCGTATTCTAAATCAACAAACTATATTTCTATGTTTTTGGTTGAGATCATGAATTAATTGATGTTAGACCACCGTTGGAAACCTGGAAGCACTGGACGGCCGTTTCGTCCTAGTGTGGGACTCCTCAGCAGTGCTTATATTTTTGAGAACTAGGTTTAACCAATTCAATCAGAAAAGAAACTACAATTTCCCTTATGATTGTTATTAGCATGAAGTAAATCATCATAAAAACTATTCCCAAAGGAAAAACAAAGCTACCATTTGATGACTAAGTTTTAATTAGTCATGCCACTTTCACTTTTTTTTTAGAAAAAATTATGTATGCTTGCCGAAGTAGGCATTAGGAGTTGTCTGAATTGTTAATCTCTTTGAATCAGTATTGCTCAATTCAGCATGAATGAAACAACCAATCAATATGTTCATCGCTGAAATCTTGTGATCCACCTCCATTGATGTTACACAATGGTCATGATAATGATAAAGCTGTACAATCGTATATATAAGTAGTTATTTTTTTATCTGTAGTAGTCTATAGTATAACAGAGTTGCACAAACTTAGCAAAGATATTGATTGAGGTCATGAATCGATTGATGTTAGACCACCATTGGAAACTTGGAAGCATTGGGCGGCAGTTTCGTCCTATTACGGGACTCCTCAGCAAGGTGCGTCCACGACTCTGCACGCGGGATTCGGACCTAGGACCTTCGGTTTCGCACATGAACCCTTGTCCTCTAGACCACTGATCCAGCCGGCATCCAATGGTTTTGATGTCTAACCTTAACCAACCAAGTACATCATCGGAGGTCCTGGGTTCGAATCCAACGAGTGGGATTTTATATGTGCACTTCTGAGGAGTCCCATAATAGGACAAAACGGCCGTTCACTGCTTCCAGGTTTTGATTGGTGGTCTAACATCAATCGGTTCATGATCTTAATCAAAAACTTGATAATCTCCATAACCACATACTGGTAATTATTAAAGATAGTCAAACTTATTCAAGATTATTAGAAAGAAATGTCAATTATTATGTACAATAATTGATAGATGGCAGGGTATTATCTCAATTTAATTTAGGTTTTTTTGAAGTATTGAATAAAGAAAGGAAATTATTCTTCGCCGAAACGTCTGCATTATTTCCCATAGTTTTACATTTGTGTAGAAATTTTCTTTACAAATCGATGAAATAATATGACGAGACAATAAAATGAACTTTTAGTTCCCACGGTTTCTGAAAGTTTCTTTAATAACAACATGAGGTTGTAGAGATTGTTGAGCTTTGAGATCATGAATCAATCAGTGTTAGACTGTAGATACGCACTGCTGAGGAGTCTCGAACTAAGACGAAATGGCCGTTCACTGCTTCTAGATTTTCAATTGTGGTCAAAAAGTTGATCGATTTATGATCTCGATTTCTTTTATTAAGTTTTTACGACATAAATCCACCTCTTATTCCAAGGTATAAACAAAAGTCTATTTTTAAAGAAATGGAAGCTGTACTAGTTCTTCTAAAAATAATTCTCTGAAAAATATCTACTTTAAAAACAGAATACATTTCGTGTTACTTCGTTTTCACATTGTATCGTTTGCACTGTATAACGTCATAATAAGATTTATTGTTAAAGAACTTGGTTCCGAACAAATCGTATGCTCTAAAATGCAAATCATACGGAGTATTTCATAATCTATATTAGGAATTGATCTTAGTTAAATAAATATGGACAGCCGTTTCATTTTTAGCTCAAGTCCCTTCAGTGGTATTGACAATCCATGACCCCCCAGCCAATCAAACTGAAAACTATCAATTTCCACGGTGAGGGCCTAATTTTTACACCGCATTTTTAGATTTGCACAACCATCTCCCGATTCCATTGGTAATTAAATACTTTATATTAAAATCCTATCGGTTACTGCCATTTAAATGTCACACTAACATTAAAAGTCATTGTCTTGAATCTGATCGAGTTATTAGTACACCATAATCACACTATTTTGTCTCATCATTTGGTTTCAATGATGTTTAAGTTATTTCTTTATCCTATTTCTGCCTTGTTTTCCTTATTCTGATTAGATAACCAAGGGATAATCGTTAACCAAATGAAATGACGACAACACATATACAGTTCAAAGAGAAGCTACACTGTACAACATTTAATTTATTTATTACTGTTATTATCTTCATTAAATAACCCCTCATTTTTTAAAAACAAACAAACAAACAAATACCCTGAACAAAATTAATCGTCAACTGACTAAATCATTCATTCATTATTCATATGTGCATGTGGGTGTGCGTGTGTGCAATCAACTTAATATCGAGATCAATGTATTCTCATCATTTCAATCCCAACACTGATATCAACAAAAAAAGGCGAGACTATAATTTATGAACGAACCAATCAGATTTATGACAACAGGTCTTGGATTTCGACGCGAAATTCTTTATCTATTTGACATTATAGCCGATGTCAGTTCGTGATGAAAACGCAAAATCTAATTCCTAACCTTAACCATCAACTGTAAATCACAATTTTTATCCTTCACACAGGTTTAAAATCCTCATTTAGCCCTAGTCAGTTGGTGAACATTCTTAAGGTCACTTTGGCGTCGTCCAAAGGTCGTCCATACATTATAGTCCCATCATAAAAAATATCAATGATATCTAATCAAAAAATTTAATCCATACACATTGACTTGTAGTTAAAAAGAATCAAAAAGTTTTTTCTTTCATAATTACTATGACATAATGATCTTAATTTTTGGCTTTCTTTTGTACAGTGAATGCAAAATAATAATTTTTACAAATTGTAATCTTATTTTGCAAACATAAATGTGTAATAATAAGAAAACTAAAATATGAAGCGTTATCACTTACTTAATTTAATAGTTTTTGTGTTTGTTCTGATGCGGTCAAGAGTGGGCGCAACCAACTCTCTACCTCCACATCGCTACGCGTATACAGATACTCCCACAGAAATCCTACTTACTGCCTTCGCGCGGCAGCGGGTGTTATTTACGAACTTCAGAGCACGAAAAGTGAATGTCCAGCGCTTTAAATGGGTTGGCGAATATAGAGGATACACCTAGGGGAGTTAAAAGACTATGATTCCAAACCAGTGGTGTACATGAGCACGACGATCCTAAGGAAACAAATGGTGTGTCAGCCTATTGTTGGTCACCGGCTACCACGCGACTGATGTTGCGCTACTGCCTTGTGGATTAGACCTTTAGGTCAAAGGCTCGGAGAATGGAACCCTAAGTAAACCACTTGCTTCGGTTTAGGCACTCGAGCAGTATCTCAGCCCTCACACAAATCGAATGATTTATGTGGCGCACATATATTTGGTGCCTCCTTGTACCAATTTTCATGTGTTTGATAAATAAATAAATATGAAAAGACATCGTAGAACTAGGAAGTATTGGTTAGTTGTATGGAATTTCTCAATAGTTCCCGTTAAGGACTTTACTTAGGAATGAACCATTAGCATCCAAGTCTTATAGAACGTACAAGTTTCAAAGTTTAGTTAGATAATCATTTTAAATTGAAAAACACTAAGTAATTATTTCATTTTAGTCAGACACTCCTCAACAGTGTTCATTCACCATCCACATAAGGACTAAACCCAGAACCTTCAGGCCTCTTGTTGAATAACTTTATAGAATAAAGGTTTTTATCAGAATTAATTTCTGTTCAATGTAATTAAGAAGACCATCTGTATACATGATGAACAGACAAATAGGTGAGATATTTCTAAAAAAAATTATCACACCTTAATAGTATTTTGATAGAAGAATTTTATATCTTAAATCTTTAGCACTTTCTCAACACTCATAACAGAAACGATCAAGAAATTCAAGAACGATGTTCCTAAAGATAGAAATATTTAAGATATCATGAATTGATCAATGTTGGTCGCACAATCTCGTGGATCGGTTGAAGTTAGACATTAACACCGTTGGGTCCTGGTCAGCTAAGTGGTGTAGAGGTTAAGTGTTTGCGCGCGAAATCGAAGATCCTGGGTTCGAGTTCTGCGCGCAGGATCGCGGATGCGCCATGTTAAGGTTTCCTATACTAAGACGAAACGGCTATCCAGTGCTTCCAGGTCTTCCATGATGGTCTAGCTTTAATTGACTCATGAATTCAACTACTAAATTACTAAAATCTCCACAAAGCTCCCTTCTGATAAACAACTGATATTTATTTATTACCAATCAACTATATCGTAAACATACATACAAACAAAAGTTGAAACTCTTTGAGTTAATCCAATGTACAGTCAAAATGAATGTCAATTAGCACAAAACTTAAATTCATGCTTCCTGTAAACTGTTTCAAATAACCCAACACAAAAATATAGTATACGTAATGTAAACCAATTAAACTAATGTTCACAATGTGACTTGATCAATGCAATTCAATTAGCATTAGAGAACTACAGAAATACAACATTACTTATTATACAGTGATAAGTCCATATAAACATCTCAGTCCTTCATAAGCTCAGTTACTAGAGAATAGGTCATGAGATAGTGGTGATGATTTGTAGTTCAGGTAGATGATTTTGACGTAGTTTTGTTCTATAAGCTCGTCCTAGTATGGGAATCCTCAGCAGTGCGCACCCACGATCCCGCACCACGCGAGATTCGAACCCAGGACCTACTGGTTTCGCGCCAGGCGCTTAACCAACTAGACCACTAAGCCGGTATCCAATGGTGTCAATGTCTAACTTCAACCAATCCACGAAGTTGCGACACCGTACACCATTGTCTTCAGTGAGCTGATATCTCACAACAGACCTGGTTGGACTCCACTAGTAACGGCTTCTCACTAGAACTCCAGGAGTATCTCTTGAAGTCAATTACTAGTGAGCAGATAATTATTATCAGAAGAGGTTTTGTGGAGATTTTTAGAAATTTCACAGGTTGAAATCATGAGTCAATTGAAGCTAGACCACCATGGAAAACCTGAAAGCACTGGACGGCCGTCTCGTTCTAGTATGAGGCTCCTCAGCAGTGCGCATCCACGATTTGAATCCAGGACCTATCAGTTTCGCACCAGGTCCAGCTTCAATTGACTCATTATTTCAATTTGTGAAATTTCTAAAATCTCCACAAACCCCTTCTGATTTAAATAAACAACAATCATAGCAAAATCATTTTTCTTCTCTTCTCTTCTCTACTAAAAAAGAGAAAAACAAAAGAAAGAAGAGTAAAAACGTTACATAATAATTAAGTTTATGTCATATGAAATGAATTTTCTTCTAAATAAAGGTGTGAAATTCCAAAAAAATTGATGAACTGTAAAATCTAAAATAAAGAAAAAAAGAAAAAAAGAAAAAAAGAGAAAATAAAAGAAAAGTCATCAAAACCATGTTTGTAATTTACTTGTCAGAATCCAATTACGTAATGAATCAAATGTTATTATTACTATTATTATTATTATTATTATTATTATTATTATTATTATGAAAGAGGTGTACACGCCTACTTTTACATATAAGTAGTATATATTATTTAGCATAGAAAAATATATAATGAATAAATGAGTAAACGAATAACTAAATAAATGAATGAATGAGTGAATAAGAAATAGAAAAGATAACCAAAGAATGAAAGAAGTATCAAGAGAAATAGAGGAAACTTATGCAAAATAAGTCAATTCTTTAGTCATATAGATAAACTCTAAAGGTTATAATTTGATAAATAATATTAAATAATAATTAGGTAAACTGTTGTAAATAAATCAGGTGAACAGATGGGAAATGATGAGATAATTGGAGTATGTAAATATGTATGTACAGAACGAATCTATCCTGTTTTAAGGTAATTAAATTAATAATTGTCAACATGGAGTTGAAATCATGAGGTGATCTAAGTTAAATTAATATTGAAAACCTGAGATCACTGGATAAACATTTCGTCATAGTATGGAAAGCTTCATCAGTGTGTATCCATGACCTCACAACTGGCAATCGAACTTAAAATTTTAGGTCTCGTATACGAATGTTTAACCTCTAGACCATTAATCTGACATTCAACGGTGTGAGGCAGTGATTCATAAGAGATGATGGAAGATGGTCGAACAATATTGTGGATTGATCGAAGTTAAATAATAACACCGTTGTATGCCGGTTCATTAGTCTAGAGATCAAGGACTCACGTTCGAGACACACTGTCCTGAGTTTGCCCCTAGTTGCCGTAATACGGCCGAGGTTGTGGAGCATCGGCTCGCCTCCTCCAAATGCTCTCACATGGCTACGCGTATATAGCAACTGCTAGAGAAGTCCTGCTCACTACCTTTTCGTAGCGGGGGTGTGACTTGTGCAGTGCATATGTTTTCGGTGCTCCTTTTTTGTACCAAAATTTATGCATCAGAATAAACAAATGAATATAAATATTCTGGGTTCGATTCCCATGTTTGTGGTCGTGTATACGCGTTGCTGAATAGTTCTTTAGTAGGATGAAATGGCCATTCAATGCTTACAGGTTTTCAGTGGTTGCCTAACTTAGACTAGTTTGTAATTTTAATGAAACTGATAGTTTCTGTAACTATTTAACAGATTTTCAATACTAAAATTAGTTAGTGACTTTCAGCGAAATCCAAAAAGGCATGTTTCGTCCTGTTCAAAACTCGCCACCTTGGTATCCCATCATCTCACCACTTATGCTTGCGATAATTTGAAACGAAACCAATATGTCAGTGTTGTGACTGGAACTAAAGATTAGTTACTAGTACTGGTACAACTGTTCACTATGACTATGAAATAACATTTGTCTGTTATTTATTGCAACGAAACGAGATAGCTATGACGGTGTAAGGAAGAAAGCATGAGTATAGAAGAAAACTAACTTATTCACCAATCACTAATTTTAAAGAACATCCACAATAATCATAAAATTATATATTATTTTAACCGTTTAGTCAGTCGATACATGTGAATGAATAGAACTAATATGGTATGTGCTACTGATTTCGACAGATAAGTAGTATGTATCATTAATCGAAAATGAAATGTCTGGAGGAAGAAGGTTAAGAAGATAGAAGAAAAGAGAAAGAGAACATAGAATGATTGCTGTGAAAATGTAGGAACAATGAAGTCTAATACAACTGGTTGACATTTTTCAAATGAATTACTTACCGTATAGTTCTCAGAGTTTACTAAAACGTCCTGTAATTTTGTATTCAAATGCATTCCATTGTACCCATTTGTGTTCTCGTTCACTATATTAGTAGTTAATCAATGATCAAATAGGTGTGCATATTTAGTTTTGAAAATCAATAAATCAACTGAGTTGACCTACTAATATAACTCATAACTGAATTATCTATTTATTTTCATCTTAATAACACTTGTACAGGGAACACAGAGCCTTTCATTTAAAAGCATCAATACGTCGTCCCATGATATAATGAGTTCAGAAATTCAATGGGTTATGCAACAAGAATGAAAGATTTCTATTTGTATTTATTTTGAGTGTTTTATGTTAAAGGCTGAAACTGTTAAGTTAAACACTTCTGTACTGAATATTCTGATTGATGTTGATATATAGTGGGAATAATCTTTCCTGAATACTATTTGCAGTGGAATATAGGACCTCTGTTTCGTCTTGTGTCCGACTCGTCAACTGGATGTACTTGTCACATTTGAGTTACTGTTCACTCTGGAATTCAAACTGAATGCTTTTCACTTCAAGCATCAAAAACGTTATCTACTTAACTACTGAGTCCAGATAGTTACTCGCTTGTTCAACAGAATGAATATATGTCAATTAAGAGTTATTATA